TTTCTTTCTTTCTTTCTTTCTTTCTTTCTTTCTTTCTTTCTTTCTTTCAGCTTTCTTTGTCCCCCAACCATGGCACCAAACCTAGGTTCTCAGACTTTAGTCTTCACCAAGAATCAACAATGCCCCCAAATACAGATGTGCTTTCTCAGCATATTTCCTTTTTCTCATCAGTTTTACTCCCTTTCATCTTCAATGCTTCTGAAGTACTCTGGCACCTTTAAAAATATCAGGAGTCAGCAAACTGTGCTGTCAAGACCAGATAATAAATACTGTTGGCCTATCGTCTTTGCCACAACTATTTAATTACGCTATTAAAGCACTAAACACTACCAAAAAATATAGGCATGGCCAGATTTGGCCTGCAGATTATAGTTTGCCAATCCCTCAAGTATAAAAGTATCATAATTTATTTAATATTTCTGTTTCTTCAGGGAGGTATGTAGTGTACAAGACCTAGTCCGTTCTAGCTGGAAGGAGAATCATGCAAGTGAACTTTTACAAATGAGCATGTCTAATATGCAATTTGGAGTTCTTGAGTTCTCTTCATTTCCCCAAATGTTCTCTAAACTTGGTGTACATGCAGAGGCTTCAGTGAGTCGGATGTGTTTGTGTGGTGTGTGTGTGTGTGTGTGTGTGTGTGTGTGTGAGAGAGAGAGAGAGAGAGAGAGAGAGAGAGAGAGAGAGAGAAAAGATAGGGCATAGTTCAAATTAGAGGTTGACAAGTCTGGATGCTTTAGGAAGGCAACAAATAATGCTTCCCTTTTCCTACTAAATATCAGAAATAATTGAGAGATAGACATAAGAGACATGAAAAGGGAGGTCAAAATATCACTTTCATTACTGAGAAGCTATTTGTGTTTTGTTTTATTTCATTTTGTTTTGGGTCACATGTGTTTCATTCTTCTTTTTATGCCTTCTTTTGAATCAATTGAGGATTCTTCATGATTCCATTATATTTCTCCTACTGGCTTATTAATATTTCTGTGTGTATTTTTTTAGTAGATTTAAGTGGTTGCTTTAGGACAAAGGACAGAGCCCAAAACAATGTCACTGCCTGTTTTTATAAATAAAGTTTTACTGGAAAAAGCCAGACCCACTTATTTATTTATGTCAATGGCTGCATTTTTTTAATTTATTTGAAACAGATCCGTTATTTAGTTAGGTTCTTTGTAAGAAATTTAGAACACCACTTTGTGAGGCTACAGCCCATTTGTTAAGAGCCAACACAGAGCTGAGGTAGCCCTGGAGTTGAGGAATGGCTTTGATTTTTGGCAGGATTTGAGAGTCCACAGCTTTCTGATCAACCTTGCACTGCTCTATAATCTCAATTTTCTTTCTCAAAGATTTCACCCTCCTGGGCTTACGCAGCTGCTTCTTCTTGAAATAAGCATCCATGAGATGTTTGGGGATTTTCAAAGCACTGGTATCAATTTTGGTGGAGGTGGTGATGACACATTTCTGGTGTGTTCCACACAAAGGAACTCTATAAAGGGACAGAGGTCCAGCCACAAGTAGCAAGCCACTGCTCGGCTGCTTCAGGAACACTGCCCTCTTGCCTCCGTGTCACTGGTGAGGAAGGATGATCAGAATGGTCCCGGGAGTGATGCTGGCCCGCGCTTTTCTCACACGCTCACTGAAGGGTGTCTTGCCCTGGCCCAACAGCTTTCCAGGCACGTGTTCAGGGGGATACCATCTAGGCATTTTGCAAAGGTTAACCACTTGGGTGCCACCATTCTTGTCGCCACCAACTGGTTTTGTAACAGGAGCAAGAACTTTCTCCTTTTTCTTTTCAATCGTGGATTTAGCTGCTGAGTACTTCCTCTTGGATGTGGCTTTGGGGAACACATAGCCGACCAGGAACATCTGGCAATTCCTCTGCGTAGTTCAGGGTTCAGCTGCATTGGAGCTTAGCCTTCTGAGGCATCTTGGCCTTGAGATTACCCTTCTTAACTGTGCCCCTAGCATCAGCCATCTTGGCTTCAGGTTTGTCCTCCGTAGTATCCAGCTTCTCCGTGTTTTCACCCACCATCTTGCAAGGTAGGAAAAGGCTCAATGGCTGCTTTTACACTCTAACAGCAGAATTGAATCCTTATGACAGAAACCACATGGCCTGCAAAAACAAAAGTATTTCTATCTGGAGACTGATGAAAAATTGTGCCCCTCCCTGCTCCAGAGCTTATAATATATACCTGCATCCATCACAGTCCCTCATGATTGTGGACTTGTCCATGGATCGTTTCATTTCTGTCACTTATTGCTTTATATATTTTGAATCCATGTAATTGGGTATGCCACAGATTTAAACGTGTGACTATTTCACTTCATACTGATTCCCTTATCATTAAAAAATGTCTCTATTTTATCTTCAATAATTGCTTCTTTCATCTACTTCCTTATTTTCTGATACAAGTATCAGCCACTCACAATTTCATTTGGCTAATTCTTGCATAATATATCTCTTCCCATCTTTTTACTCTTAAATTTTCTGTCTTCACATTTAAAGTGCATGTTTTTGTTAACAGCATGTTGTCAAGTTTTGTTTTTAATTAGTCTGACAATCTTATTATTTTGCTTACTGTATTTATATTTAACATAATTACTGTTATAATAGAGCTTATGTCTACCATCTTGCTATGGATTTTTGTTGTTGTTGTTTTTATTTCTATTTAGGCCCTCTGTTTTATTCTTTTACTTATTTTTTAAAATTTTATCTTTATTGTTGAAAGCATTACAAATGCCCCCCCTTTCTTTCCACTTGACCACCTTCACCTCCTACCCGCTCTCTCCCCAGGCCTTCACCACACTACTGTCTGTGTCCATGGACTATGCATATATGCATGTAAGTTCTCTGGTTAATCTCTCCCCACCCACTCCCATCTTCCTTATGAGATATGTCAGTCTGTTCTATGCTTTTGTGTCTCTGGATCTATTTTGTTCATTAGTTCATTAGAGTCCACACATGAGTGAGATCATGTGATACGTGTCTTTCTCTGACTGGCTTCTTTCGCTTAGCATAGTACTCTCCAGGACCCTCCGTGCTGTCTCAATGCTTTCCAAAGCCACACAGTTCAATTGTTATCTGAGTCTCTGCCAAGAGCTTCTCCAGAAGAAGAGCCCTCCAAAGGTCCCCACTGGGTGTAGCCAGCAGACCCCTCTGCAGAGTCAGAAATGGAGGAGCAGGCATTGCACTCCCCAGGCTGGTGTTCTAATAATAGGGGTGCTCAGCCCTGGGAAGGGTGTCTGTGTCCCTAGCAGACTCCCTTCTCTACCAGGATCGCTGAATCCCAATGGTTCTCACCACTAGATGCTATAGGGGCTCCTCTTCCCATCTCTGTTGCTCTGGGTTGGGGATTCCTGCGAGGGGTTGAGACCCCATGCTCCTGCAGGGAGCGACTTTTGCACCCTTTGGCTTTTCTGCCACTGCATGTGAGTGTGGGGGCCTGCCCTTCCCACATTTCTGCCCTTTTTATAAGTCTCTGTGTGGCTTTTCCTGTAAATCCTTGGTTATACCATTTCAATTCAGCTAACCTTCAGTTGGTTATTTGGGTTGATTGCTCTATAACTTAGCTGTAAATCCAGTTTGGCGACTCTGCAGCCCTCTTGGAAAGTCTCTTTCCTATTGCATTTTAATTACCACAAATCTTGAAATGTTTTTTCCACTTACCACTACTTTCAAATTATATCAGTAATTTTATGAGATTAATTAAAGCTAGTGTTTAGTAAATTAATTAAAAAGTGTGCACACATTCCTAGCCCATAAGTATTCTAAATGTTTCTGTCTCATAAATTTAAAAATCTTTTCATAACTCAATTTTAATACAGTTGGTTTTCTTCAGAGTCATTTTTTAAAAATTTGTTGTATTTAAAAACATTATTTGGAGAAGGAATACAAAAGGGGATCGATCCATGACACAAAAGGAATGCCTGCACTAAAGAGACTCATCGATGGGCAGCAGAGGGCCTAGGGCAGGGTCACTCCTGCCAGAGGAGGACGCTAAGCATGCAGGGGTGAAAACTCAGCACTCTCCTGCCCGTGACCCTTGGCTCAGCCGAGTCAGGGTGCATCTGCCCCGGGCCTGGCAGCTTCTGGGACTTTTTCCTGAGCATTCTTATAAAACAGCAAGCACATTGCCACATGTGCCTGGAATTTGATTTCCAGGCCAAGTGTCAGCTTTTCCATGCTGAGGCTCCTTCAGGTTTTGGCCCAAGTTCTCCTGCTGTCAAGGCCCAGCCCTTTCCATACCTCGACCACCTGCCAGAGAGAACGGATTCATGGAATTTGGGCCACCACATCTGAGTCTCGTCAGCCACAGGCTTCCACCTGCAGCCTCGGAGCCCCGGAGCGAAGGTGCCTGAGGGGACCACTGGCGCTGACCTGAGCCCATCAGGGCAGCATGTCCTTCCCTGTGGGCCAGGAATCTTAAAAATCAGGCCGATTTCCTCCTCTCAGACCCAACGAGGCATTTTCTTTTCAGAGACTGAGTCTGAGTTCTAATCTTATCTAGGAATGTTAGTTTCTCTTGAGGTATTTATCTCTCTCTCCTTTTTTGTTTTGTTTTGTTGTTGTACTCTAACAACACAGGAGAAAGGGTTATACAATGGGAAGATATTGTTACAAATGGGAGCTCTTGCTGTGACTTCCTTAAATAAACAGGTTGCTAATGTTTCTGGACAGTAGTTGAGCTACAATTTAGAGGTTGCTGAGACTTTTTCTGTCTAAAGGAATCTATCTCCTTCTACACGACTCTGTCTCCAGAAGAAAATTAAACTCCATTACAACCTTGGCTTGAGAAAACAGTCCCACTACCCCTTGCTAGAGATGATGGCCTAAATGTTGTGTGCTGTGGGGATGAGAAAAGCTGCCTGCTGCAGCAAATTCGCTTCCTTCAGCTCCACAGCAGGGACCTGAAATTATATATAACTAGAGGCCTGGTGCACAAAAATTCATGCGGGGGGGGGGGGCTTTCTCAGCCCTGGCCTGCGCCCTCTCGCAGTCCAGGAGCCCTCAGGGATATCTGACTAATGGCTAAGCCAGCAGTTGGAGTGCTTGCCAGCCGTGAGCATTGAGCATCTCCCCCCTGGTGGTCAGTGTGCATCATAGCAATCGGTCATTCCACCATTCAGTCGATTTGTATATTAGCCTTTCATTATATAAGATGGACAGATATACATAATGGATATATATGGAGAAATATACATAACATTGTTTCAATTAGTAACCTCTTTATGTTAACTATTGATCTGACCTTTTTAAATTATAGGCCAATCGATTATATATACTGAGAGAAAAGAATGGTATTATTAAATCTAGTAAACAGGCTGAGAAATCCACAGCTGGTGAGAAAAAGAGGAACAAAACAGAACTCTGCGAGAAACCAGCCACTTTTTAGGGCTTGGATGACGAGGAGGAGCTGGTGGAGGTGACCATCTGGGTCTTCAAATGGTGTTGGACACATACGAGGAAATCATTAGTGTTCATTAAATGAACTAGTAGAAATTGGGAGAATAAAACCATTGCTTTGTTTGCCATTTTAATGCCCTTAATCCCATCTAAGCTCCAAATGAGGAGTGCCAGCTCTTAGCTAAAACTCAACAGAATCCCTAAAATAGGTTATTTCAAAGCTTTTCTGATCTTTGTGCAACTAAGGGATTATCTAGTAATAGTTAACTGACTCAATATTTTTAACTGTCAGGCCCAAGCAGTATAGTTTGAAAGTAAGAAGGGGTAAGAATAAAATTTAAAATTAGGAAGGAGTGGGCATGAAGGAAATGAAGTAGCATTTTTTTCATAATAAATGAAGCATCATTTCCATTGCAGAAAGCCTTGTAAATTGTAAGGTAGTTAGGACATTATTTTTCTTACTATTTGTTTAGGGTTTATTATATCTCTCCATCAGAGGTGAACTTGTGTAGTTTCAGCATCGCAAGTATAGATCTTTAAAATACTGTGTGGGATATATGCTAGATGAATGAATGGAGAAAAAAATATCAAGAACAGCATAAATTGATAGAATTTATGCTGAGACCCTCTATAATATTAGACGTGATGGGTTTTTATTCATCCCAGATTAAATGCAGAATTTAAATATGAAGATTTATCTTTTTATTTTAGTGTTATTAGATTTAAATGAAGTTTCAGGTTTTTCTCTATAAGCTAATCTTATCTTTGGCTTTTACCATCCAAATATGTTTTGGTAGAATATGTAAGTTGATACAACATAAAGTGGATTTAATCAAACCTTATATTTTGGATATGTGCACCAAGTGTTTAAATACTCACACAATAAGCAAATACAGATCGATTTTTCACATGCTATGGATATCTTATAACATAAAGAGTATAAAAAAGAAAATAATTTTAAATTTTATTTTTTATTGTGATGAAAAACATATACCTGTCTTTTTTTCAATTATAGCTCATATTCAATATTATTCTATATTAGTTTCAGGTCTACAACATAGTGGTTAGACAATCATATACTTTACAGAGTGGTCCCCCTGATATTTCAAACACCCCACTGGCCTGTACATAACTATTATAATATTATATTTTTCCCCCATTGACCTCTCCCCAGCCACTCCCACTCCCCAGCACATGCCCTCACCCCCCTAGTGTCTGTGTCCATTGAACTTAATTACATTTTAATGAGTCCACATTCTTACCTAGATGGATTTATCAAAATCATGTGCCCCACAAAAAAAAGAAGTGTAGTTTTAGTTGATGTGTGTCAAAAAATCTACAAAATCAAACCAGATTGTCACTCGGACAACTGAATGAATTATCTAGTTGGCCTAAGTTGATCGAGCTAAACTTTATATTTCTTTTTCTAAATTTCCTTGTGCTCATTAGATAATTTCTAGTGAAGATTTAAATAAACAATACAAAGGTGCAGTAGAAATGTCACTTCATTAGCAACTCTTGGATACTTTTTGTTGAGAGCTAGACAGAAGTAGTTCCTCTCAAACTTTTGAGGCTGTTCGCAATGAGAAATTTAGGGATTTAGTTTTCCATGTCCTGATAGTTGTGAAAATGAAAATACTTTCTCTTTCCATAAATAAATTCTAGCTTCTGGTTTTTGAAAAGAAAAACAGAATGTGTTTGCTGCAGTATATGCATGAAGCCAGGGTTGACCTGTGTCAGCTATTTGACAATCATTCCTCATTTGTCCTCATGGTAGCCCATTTGTAAGTTCCTGTTCCAGGAATAGAGAAGGAAGGGCCACATCAATTTTCCTCGTCCAATTCTTTACAGTTTGAAAGGCTTTCATACAAATAAAAATTTGAGTTTTTCATTTTGTAATAACTGGAATGCGGAGAAATTCCAGTTATTACTAGATACTTCAAAGAAACTGTATCCAAATGTCATTGATATCTTTAATGCAGAGGTCTTAGAAAAAGCAAGCATAATTTTGTCATCTACTAGGCATCTGGCTCAGTTATTCGGGGTACACTTTTGGGTAAAATGTGGAATGTAGTGGGAAATTCTATGAGCTATCTGAGTGCCATAACTTTATTATCTATGTAAAGGCAAGAAAATAGGAAGAAGAATGATGACTTGGGTTCCACATCACCACTTGCCTTTATGATGCTTGAATAAGTAATTACAATTTTGGGGAACCTGGTATTTTCGTAAAATGAAAG